CTCAGTGTTAGCGTATAAGTCTGCTATTCTAGGGATCTCAGGTTCGAATCTCGATGTTTTACAAAAATTTATAAACTTGCGTATAAATTGTAATTAATAAAATAGAAAATATGCGGAATAGTAAACACAAATTAAACTCTAAAAATAATATGTAATAATAAAAAATAAATTTTTTAGTCATCTTTTAGACGACTTTGTGCTCTTTGGGTACTTTTATTTGAGTGTATTTCATTTCAGGGTTTTATTTCGGTGTTATTTTGATGGTTTTTTAGGGCGTTAACAATTGAGTGTAACCTTCAATTGATGATCCGAAATCACACCCAAATTTGAGCGTCCTTTTTAAGTGTTAACACCCAAATTTGAGCGTTTTTTTTAGTGTGTAACACTCAAAGTTGAGAGTTTCTTTTCGTAAGGGCTGCCCTCATCTTTGGATCACTGTCTGAATTTTGTAGCATGGATCGAACTTTGTCCATAATAGTTCGGTTGTAACGTTCAGCAAGACTATTCTGCTGAGGACTGTATGGTGTTGTTAATTGATGTTTGATACCTTTTTCTTTGAGAAAGTCTGTTAGCGTAAAGTCTGTTACAAAACCTCAAGGGTAAGCACTCAAGACAATCATTTAAAGTCAATGAGAATAAGCAATTGGCCGAGAACAAGTTGGATCTAATTCATATTGACTTGAGTGGGCCGATGCTTACTGAATCATGGAGCGGTAAGTGTAACAATACATGTTGACTTTCATAGACGATCATTCAAGAAAGATATTCGTATACTTCCTCAAGTATAAAAATGAGGTTAAAACAATCGTTCAAGAATTTGTAGCTATGGTAGAGACTGAATGTGGTACCAAAGTCAAAGTAATACGTTCTGATAATGGAACTGAATATTGTATTCAGTTCCATTATCAGAACGAATCACTTTGACTTTGTTTGTATCACATTCAGTCTCTACCATAGCTACAAATTCTTGAACAATTGTTTTAAGGCATTGTATACATGGAGATCTGTTAGCTGTAGAATCACTGGTAAATTTTATCCCTGTAGTAATATGTTCCTTGAGTTGATTTAAACTGTCATAGTTTACATGACCTAACCTTCTATGCCATAATTGTGCTGACGCTTTGATTATGCCAATATTTGCAATTTCAGGCTTTCTGAAAGTAGTATTTGTTACATTACTGACAGTGTCGAGTCTATATATTCCTCCGATCTCAGATCCTGTCATTTGTACTTTACCCTTGACTGTATAATCATCATTGTCATAGATTTTGCATCCATGAGAGTCAAAAGTGATTATGTAATCCTTTTTAACTGTCTCACTAATTGACAATTTATTGTACTGTTAATATAAATTAACAGACAGATCAGGGATATGCGTTACATTGCGAATAGTTTTGTAACAGTTACCTGATTGATTTTTTATTTTTACAAGTACGTCACCTTTGCCACTGCTATATAATTTCCCATTGTTTGCTATTGTAACTTCCATGCCTGCACCAGTCTGTTTGTAGTCTGACATTTGTTCCTTAAGAGGGCTCATAGTTTTTGAGCAATAGCAGTCGATGTACCAGCCGTCTGGATCATCCATAGTATTATTAGCACTGAGAGCAGAAAATAATCCTTTTTCGCTGTTTTTCTTCTCAGGATTCTTGTCAAAAATTTTGTTTGAAGTTGTCTGATGATCCCTTGGATTCAACTGCTTGGCTACGTTTTGGCTTTGAACAGTCTTTTGTGTGATGTCCAATGATGCGACAATTGTACCACCATGGCTTCTTTGGCTTGTATTTATCTTCAGCACTCTTATTATACAGGGTGTCTCAGAATAGGTGTATGACCGCTCATGGGTAGATAGAATGGACTAAACTGAATCGAAAAATCCTCTACCATTTTGCAAAATTCGCAATATTTAACGAGATATTAATTTTTGAATATCGCCGAATGAGCGAGTATTCGTTCGGCGGGTCCGGCCCACCGCCAATACTAGCGCGCGACCGTCCATCGAGCGCGGTTGCCTAGCGCGAGACGCGGCGAGCGGGGAATTGTTTACAGCAAAAATGGCTGTGCGTTCGAGCGACTCATAGACGATCGCGCGCTAGTATTGGCGGT